GGGATTGGCCTCAAATTTACTGCAGCCTCCCTACCTCAGGCTCCTGGGTACTAGGAATTCCTTGGCAGGAGCCATTATGCCCTACTTGAGAGCAAAGGGAAGCAGACAAGAACCTGGAGTGTCTTCCTGGCTTCAACCACAGCTCAGTCTGATTCACTTCCCACCTCCAGCCCTGGATATTCAGGGTCTCTTATTTTGGAGCTAGACTCAGCTGGGGTTTGAAGCGTCTCCAGACGCTCTGTAACATTAGCAGATGGTGGAGTCTTCTAGGAAGCAGTTCTACTGTGGGTTTTCTGTTCCCTAACCAAGTCTTTTAAACATAATGTGCTTTCTCACTCGGCTTTCCCAATGCTTAACCAGTCTGTCTTATCACAAGGAAGAAATGGCAGGAGGGAAGAGAGAGGGCACAGCCTTCTAGTGCATGTGCACCAGGAGAAGCTTGGATTCCTTTCTTCCCAGACATCAGGATGTCTTTCCCTTTACCATGCCTCCTGTTTTTACCTTTTGGGGGGGTTTTGTTTGCTTGTTTGGTTGGACAGTTTTCTATGTGTGTTTCCCATGTGTGTTCTCTCTGTGTGTTTCCCATGTGTCTGCCCACATGCAGAGAGGCCAGGGGTGACAGTAGGTGTCTGTATCACTCTTCACCATTTTAAATATTTTATGTTTATTTTCTGATTAGCAGACCCTCTTACTAAACCTGGAACTCACTGGTTGGCTAGGCTTTCTGGCCAGTGAGCCCCTGGGATTCTCCCCTCTTCTTCTCCCAACACTGGGTTTGCAAGCACACACCACGGTGCCCTGCTTTTTACATGGTGCTAGGGATCTGAATTTAGTTCCTCACGCTTTCATAGCAAGCACTTTATACATTTGTTTATGTTTTCTTGACAGAGTCTGACTGCATAGCCCAGGCTGGCCTCAAACTCGTGATCTACTTACCTCAGCCCCCTAAGTGCTGGGATTCCAGTCATGTATGCATGTGTGCCACCATACCCAGCTCATAGTTTCTATCTATCTATCTATCTATCTATCTATCTATCTATCTATCTATCTATCTATCATCTATTTGGTACAGTCTCTAGTCAAGGCTGTCCTCAAACTCCCTACTTAACCGACAGTAACCTTGAGCTTCTGATTCTTCTACATCTATCCCCACCCCCTTTCCCCGAGTGCTGCTGGGATTGTTGGCCTAGTGGCACACTGTTTCTATAACACACAGTTTATGGTGTTAAGTCCAAGAATTTCTTGTACAAACTAGGCAAGCATTATCAATTGAGCTACAAAACCAGCCCTTTACCATTGATTTGTTAAAAACCATTTCTTATCTGGTGATTCCTTTAAAATGTAATATCTTAGCATTCATATGTGTAACATGTAGAGGTCAGAGGACAACCTGTGGGAGTTGGTTCCCTCCTTCCACTATATAGCTCATGGGATCAAATTCAGGTCATTAGTCTTGGTGGCAGGTGCCTTTACCTACAGAGCCATTTTCACTGGCACTGATCTGGTGATACTAGGTTTTAAAATGATAAAACCTTTCCTGGGGATCCCAGAGAAGGAACTCAATGGCTATAGATTAGACACAACCCTGCCAAACTTAATCAGCCAACTGATTTGGAAGTAAATGACTGTTGTTAAATTTTTCTTAATTGACAAATTTTAAACCTGACAGACATTTCCCATGCTCCTATAAATCATTTAGCTGCTCATATTAAAAATATAAATATAGAATCACTTCTCTGAAAAAAGCCATTTAAAAAAAATTCCTGCCAAAACCCAAAATAAAATAGTTTCAAAGATAGTTACTCCACAAAAAAATAGCATTTTTTGTTTTATTTCTTGTCTTGTTTTTATTTATTTTGTTTGTTCTTTTTTTTGTTCTTCCTCAGCTCCTTTCTACTCATTTCCACTTCTGGGTTTGTCCCCTTGGTTTCTAGAAGTTCCCCAAATCTGTCCCCTAAAATCCCCTTCACTTAAGCTAGCTAGCTTTGATTTCAGCCTTTCAAAAATATTAACCAATATAACCAATCTCCACATCGCCTCCTCTCCTTGAGCTGAAAATTCCAGTGATGGAGCAGATATTAGATAACGATAACCTAAATGTTATCTCCCAGATACATTTCCCAAACTGGCTGGCTGCCTGGAATGAAGGGAATGAGCAGCAGAATGAAGGGATGGACGGATGCAAGCAGTGCGGCTTTGCCAGAATATGTTTGCCCCTAATTGGTTTAAGCCAAGGGCTATGTTACAATCCATCCCTTCTCGGATACTTTCCACACCTCAGAAATAAAGATAACTGAGCCCAAATATGAGGTTCACTGCCTGAAAACAAATGACCACCAGGACAGAGACACAGTCATTGGCAGGCAGGGATGGCTAGATTGCTTCACAGGGATGCTGAGGGAAGGCCCAAAAAATATCCATTCTACTCTGAGAATACCAAGCTTCAGAGAAATGAAGTTTTCCAAAGACCCAAGGCTGAAACCCACATCTCCTGGCTTATCTTATAAATCAGTAGTTCTTAATGCTGTGACTCTTTATGTTCCTCATGTTGTGGTGACCCCCCAACCATAAGTTGCTACTTCAGAACTGTAATTTTTCGACAGTTATGAATCATAATGTAAATATCTGTGTTTTTTGATGGTCTTAGGTAACCCCTGTGAAAGAAAGGGTCATTAGACCCCCCTCTCCCAAACTGGTTGCGACCCACAAGTTGAGAACCACTGTTACAAACCAAAGAGGCAGGCAAAGTAATTGTATAGGCTAAGAGAAACAGGCAATGAAGTCATGGCCTTTAACCATTAATCTCTTCTACTGAGACTAAACTCCACCCCCACCCCTGCTGGGTCCTGAGAGGAGCCCTTTACCTCTAACATGGAGTAACTTCGGGCTCTCCCAGGGAAAGTATCAGGTGATAGTGAGTGACTTGATCCTAGATAGAATGGGTAACGCAATGGAGGCCCCAGCACTCCGCTAGGTGTTTCGGTTTAGCAGAACCCTTGCATTCAAAACTCTTGGCACGCGTTTATGTAAGAATGGTGCTTTTAAGATCAAGCTACCCAGCTTGTTATTGGTCAATTGCAAAAACTTTCCTGCTCAAATTGTGCGTTTTTGCCACCCTCAGTGGCAAATCCCGGCCGAAAAGTCTTAACTTCAGGCTCCGGCTTGCCCGCTTCCCTCTGGGCTCTCACAAACCACCTGGTTGTTGGAGTGGGAGTCGTGAGAACAGTGGCATCGCGGGAGCGTTTGATCACGGTCCTCTTTCTTGAGCAGGGACAGAAAGGCGTCCCTTGGAGCGGCAGGCGACAGCGGGCTGGGAGGAGCGTCGCCCAGCGGCAGAGGCTGTGACGGTACAGGCGTGGGGGTGGGGGCTCCCACCTCCCGCAGCTCTACAGGCGGTGCCGGGAGGCGGGGCTCCAGTCTGCCGGAGCTCCGTATTGGCCGGCGGGGCTGGGGAGGAGGGGCAACTACGCCGTGATTGGCGGAGGCCGGCGCCGGAGGGGGCGGGGCCGCT